GGAGGGTCTTTATACATGTATATAACTGCTTCTCTTTCCTCTGCCAAGCCCATAGTTGAACTCATAAAGGTAACACACATCTAATATGACTCCAGTGGTCTGAGGGGTGCACCGGTACACTGCACATGTGCACAGAGAAGAAGGAATTGGTGGTCCTGCGCCAGATCCACAGACTTGTTTCAGCCACCCAAACCAGCTTTGGCTAATGGCAGAGTGCAATCCTCTATTACATCCAAGAGTTTAAGTTGTTCCCGATGAAGGAAGGGGTCATGAGAACAGGTGTAATGCAGGGAAGTTGTTTAGAGAGAAATAAGCTCTTGGGTTAGGCTGTCCTTCAGGGAAAGGACGTGTTTGCCTCAAGGTTTATGTGCAGACCTGATTTTGAATCCCAATTCTGCCCATTATCAGCTCTGTGACATGAGCACACTATTTTACTTCCCTGAACCTCAGTTTCCTTATCTGTAAAATGGACATAGTGACATCTCACAGTTTGTTATGAGAATAAACTGTGATCATGTGTGTACAGCACTTGCCATAGCACCTGGCACATAACAGGTATTCAGTAAATGCTCCCAGGGTTCCCCACCAGCCTTCCAAGGCTAAGTCAGTGTAGCCTTGGTTGAGTGATTATATAATTGACTGTTAAGCTGTTGTTCTAAATTTTTTTTGGATGCAGTGTGGAATAGCAGAATCAGCAATGAACTTAAGAGAACTGGGTTCAAATCCCAGATTGAAATTTTAACTGTTGTGCAACTTTCAGTAAGTTATTAACTTCTCTCTACAATGGGTGATGGTACTTTATGAAGATCAAGTGAAGTGATATATGAAGAAACCTGGCACACCCAAGTACCCAGTAGGCATTAATTCTGCCCTCCCTTACCTCACTTCCTTTTTTATTTCTTTCTGCCCTTGGGCCCATTTTGTCAATATTCATCATGACCACCTCTTCCCTCTTCCCCCATGTAGAGAATCTCCAGAAATCGATTGAAACAGCATTGAGAGGAACATTAAATAGCTTAGTTGAACCACTCACTTTAGAGCTGAGCAAGATGAAGTCCAGAGTGTTCAGATAACTTGGCTGAGACCACACAGCTAAGGTTGTGGTCATATTTGATTGAGATTTTAGGATTCCTAACTTTGGCTCTAGATCTAATTTGGTTAACTCATTCGTTCATTCTTTCTTTCAAGCATTCATTCAGCTAATTTTTTTGGAGATGTGTCCTGTACTCCCCAAAGCACGGGGGATACCCTGGTTGAACAAGACGGTGAACAGAGCTTACCTCCCGGTGGAGGGGCGTGGCTGCCTCAGGGACAGGAGCGGGTCTGTCCCACTTCCCCAGTACCCGGGAGAACTGCGTCATCTCACCTGACCTCCCTCCCGGGCCTCCTTCCCAGGCAGAGCAGCAGGGGGCACACAGCTTCTGCACTGGGGCCAGGGGGAGCAAACTTGAAGAGGGGTGACTGTGTCATTCAGGAACTTGCCTGTGTTCTCACGTTTTTAGTAATAAAAGTAATCAAAATCCATTTTTACTGGGGAAAAAAATCTGACCGGTCCTTTGTTTGAAAGTGTTTTCTAATCTTGAAAAGTGTTTTTCCCTTTGGAATTTGTAGGGTCCAATGACCATATGGATAGGTAATGAGTTTATTATTAATATCAAGGATACTGCCTATTTCAGAAAGCTTCATTTCTTGAGGAATAAAGAGAAGATGAGATTAGTTTTCTTCTGAAACCTCTGTAAGTGTCCCAGGCATGGCAGTAAACACCAGAGATCCACCCATCTTTGAGCACAGCCTGTTACAGGGCTGCAAAGACTGAGACTATAGGAAAGTCCCGGAGACCCAGGGTAGACCTCAGCCAGCAAGAACAATCGATGCTAGCCCTGGCCGGCGTGGCTCAGTGGTTAGAACGTTGGCCCACACCGAAGGATTGAGGGTTCGATTCCCGGTCAAGGGCACGTATCTGGGTTGTAGGCTCCTCAGCCCTGGTCAGGGGCAACCAACTGATGTTGCTGTCTCACATTGATGTTTCTCTCTCTTTCTCTCCCCCTCACTCCTCTCCTCCACTCTCTCAAATTGATGGAAAAAGTAACCTTTGTTGAGGATTGACAAGAAAAAAGAACAAGCGATGCTGGCCTCTTGGTATACCACATCCACCTCTGCTGATCCTGGGCCCTAAATATAGTTTGATGGTGGGCTCCACCTGTCTGAGTTCCATCCTGCCTTTTTATGAGTGTTGAAGGATCCTGAACCACCCCTGTAACACCGTCACTGTTTCTTCTTTAGCAAGAGCTTCTTATGTATCAGGCTTTGCTCTTGCAGTTTAGGCTCAGCTCGATCACAGACAGGCCTATTTTTAGTGGGGTTTTGCATAGAAGAATGTAACGAGTTTACATATTCCAGGCACCAAAAGGGGAAAAATCACCACTCCGAAGATAAGCGAGGATGATGCATTTGGAAGTTTGTATTCAGTGTGGAGGGGCTAGAGTTTGAGGAGGTTAAGACTCAGCTTTCTTTTTTCCATTCATACCACCCTATCTTTTAGTTCTCCCAGATGCTATTTTGTTTCATACCAGTGCATCTGATTTGCAAGAAACACATGGAACTTAAAACTGGTCTTTTGATAGGAAGGGTTGTAGGGAAATCGACTCACTCTATGGAGAAAAATAAAACTGGACCCCTACCTAATGTTGTAAAGATAATAGAAAAAAAAAGGTAGGCAAATAAATATGGCAAATAATCAAATAATCATGACATAGGGGTAGGGAGAGATTTTTTTCAAAACTTCAAAAGAATAAAATTTAAATAAATTGATGAACTTGATTATATCAAAATTAAGAATTTCTATTCCACAGTGAACACCAAGGACACTTTTAACAGACACACAAAGGATTGGGAAAGACTGTTGTGATATCCAAAACCAACAAGGGACTATTACCATTCTAAAATACTGAAGGAACTCCTGGAAATCAATGGGAGGAATATAGATAAAAGGGAAAAGAACCTGAAAAGGCAATTTTTAAAATAGGAGTCCCAACAGAATTGAGAAGTATACGAAGGGATGTTAAATGTCCTTAGTAAACCAGATAAACGTCATACAAAGCAATCAGTAAATGCCAATTAAACAGCAATTAGGTGTCACTTTACACTTATTCAGCTTGTTGAAAATCAGAAATCTAGGTGATAGGCTCATTGAATGAATCATTGTTCAGTTTTCAGTGCAAGGAGGAAATGGGAGGCCACCACAGACTTTGATGCAATATCAAGGAAATTAAACAATTCTCTGGACAAAGGCGTGTGAGGGATGGATGGAAGCGGAGATAAATGAACACTCTCTTAGTACTCCACTAAATGCATGCTTCTATTTGTGTATAATTTACCACCTTGCATTTAGGCACAAAAAATTGATTATATTTCAAAAGCAGCTAAGTAGAAACATTTGCACTTGAGCAATTGATAAAGTCAAAGAGAAGAGAGTAGAGGGATTTCAGCTGAAAGATCCAAAGGAGGAGTATTAGAGGCTGAGAGGGGTTAAGGTTCCTGCCTTTTAGAAGTGCTACCTTGGGTCTTGACCCCATAGTCCATATGTAATGCTTTGGGGATATCAGTGCCTTCCCAGGTAGTAGCACTATCGACCAACATAGAAAAGCAACATTATTTCCTTTTAGTCCTTGGAGAAAGGCCAGTTAAAGTAAATGTCATTGCTGTCGTGCAGCTGGGTGGTCCTTAGGGATGCTTAGATGCCTTGTAAAAATGTGCTAATGACAGCACTGGATATCAGGAGGAGTTGGGGAGGGGAAAGGAGGGCCCTGTGAACCTCTTCTTTTGGGAAAATGAAGAGGACCATGGCCAGCGCTCCTAGGTGGAGAAATGCCCTCCTGATTGCATGCATAAAACGTGCAGGTAGACTTCAGCAGGCAGGACTGAGGCCTCCAAGGCTGGAGGAACTTAGGCATGGTTCTCTCAGGGCATCCTCTGGAATTTTGGGCAAATTGTGGGCAGACTCAGGCCTTGCAGACAGCACAGCACAGTGAGGGAGCACACCAGCTGAGCGTATGGGCTCTTGAGTCAGGTAAACCTGGGTTCGAACCCAAGCCCTGCCACTGCCTGGCTATGTGGTTTTAGTCAAATTCCTTTACCTCTCCAAAGCCTCTGTTTTCTTCACCTTGAACGTGGAGGTGATAGTATATCAGCTCATAAGATTCTTGTGAGGATGAGTGAGGTCATCTGTGAACTTTCCATGCTGCCGCCTGGAACACCGTGAGCACTCAATACAAGGGAGCTGTTAGGGTTATTTTATTTCTTAAATCATAGGTAGTCAAGCTTCATCATATGACAGAAATAGTGAGAGCAGCACTCATAAGACATGGCTTTCCAGACAAAATAGGGAGCACCCCACGAGCAGCCACCCCAAAAGCTCCTTGGAGTGAGTTAGCCCACATCCCATCCCCACTGTGTAGTCCTGGGCCCCTTAACCTCCCAGCTCCAACATCCTACCTTGTCCCAAACAACCTGGCAGACACAGTAACTGGTCCCACGCTGTGACATGGTTGGGATTTTGGCTTTCAGAGTTCTAGTTAAACACATTCAAGCTTTGGTATTCTTTGGTTCCATAGCATTTGGTTATCTGAGTTTCATGCCCATCTTGGCTTCAGTTTTCCCCAGTGCTCAGGACCTCAGGGTGGATGCAGAGAGAAATGGCCATGGTGCCAGGGGTGCAGGGGGCACCGTCGACCCCCACCCCCTCCGCCGTGAGGCTGCAAGTGCGTCAAGTGGATTCATTGGCATCTTCGGTTTTCCCGTAAGGAAGCGTTGCCAATGCCTCATATTTTGAAAATCATGGCAAGAAGTAAGCAACAGGGTTGGCAAGAGAAAATAGTATAACCTGCAGGGTGGGACAGATTGGCGTCATTAGAGAAGGAGCAAGACTAGGACCGAGGGGCTGAGACAAAGGTGGGAGAATAAAGGGGGAAGAGAAACGTGAAGCTGCGGGAGCAGCAAAGGAGACGGGGAGAGGTGGCTCCTGATGCTCCCGAGCAAGAAGACGGGAGTGATGGCCTCAGCTCAGCAAGCGGGAGGGAAATGGTTAGGAAGCCTCGAGCAAAAAAATCCTAATTAGAATGTGGCTTTTTAGACATTTTATGATCCATCTCCCTGTGGTTGTAAATGAAGAAAAGAGAAAGGAAAAAAAAAAAACCAAAAACAGGACACAAGTAGGGGTGTCTTCGTCTCCCTATTGGCAAAACTAGGGGATGGGACTATGATCTCTAAGGTGCTTTCCGGAGCTAACAGCCTCTGGATGTATAAACTACATGCGTACTTAAGGTAGTTATTTGGTTAAGGTACATCACTGCGGTCTGTGTGGCGTCCATGAGGCCACCCTGCGGTGGACGACCCGAATGTGCTGGATTTCCTTAGTTCTGAGAAAGTCAGGATCATAATGCCCTTCAGAGTTCTAAGTAGCTTATACAGTGTGGTTGTTTCTTTACAGACTGGCCAGCCCTCCCTCAGGTACGTTCTGGAACTAATGCTGAAGTGCTGGGAGAGGGAGGGTTTGGGCTAGAAGCCGGTCCTGGCGCTTCCTGGGGTTCCCCGGGGCGACCCCCCCGTTTGCTCGTTGCTGAATTCTATGATGTCCGTCTCCTTGGTGTCCAGGGTCTCCACCAAGTACCGCACGTCGGGAGAGGGTGGCGAGCGGGCCACGAAGGTGATGCCACTGGTCTCGGAGGACGTTTCTGTGTCGAGTAGAAGAGGCGGCTCGGGGTTCACAGGCTCCTGACTTTGGCCCTCCAGGGAGGTGTGGCTGGACTCCAGGAAGCCCGGGAGGCTCCACCTTTTCGGGAACTTGTCATCGTCATAAAGGTCTTCCTCAGCGGCAAACATGAAAATGTTTCTCTCAGTTTTGGCTGAAATAGTCAGGGGACTGGGGCCTCGAGGAGGCGTCCCCTCCTCTGAGGGGAAGAGCATCAGTCCCCCCGGGTCCCCCTGCTGCCCGGTGCCGCTGGGCTGCACCCCAGTGAACTCGTAGCTCTGGAGGGAGGCGGTGGAGTCACAGAGGTGGTCCTCTGCCACCGGCCCTGGAGCCGTGATCCGCACCTCGGGGACCTGGGGCATTTTGGTGGGGGAGGCCCTCACGCTGGACTGCGGGGACAGGCTCTGCAAGGTGCTCGTGCGGCTGGCCTCCCTGATCATGGACAGTTCTCCCAGGCTGGAGTGCAGCTTGGGGCTCGGCTCTGGGGACAGGTGCTTTCGGGAGCCCGAGGCCCGGCGGGGGCTCCTCGAGGGCACATCCAGCAGGTCCCTGGTGGGGCTGAGGTCGCTGTAAGGCAGGAATGTGGAGCTCTCACTGGCTTGCCTCGCGTAGCGTCTCCTGGGGCTGGAGGGGTTCTCGTGGGCACTCAGGAACCTCTTGACTCTCCTGATCATGGAATGGCGATGGCCAGGCTTCTCATAATCCAGCCACTCCTCGCCCGGCAGGTCGGACCCAGACAGCCTGAAACACAGGATGACACAAAGTAGGCAGAGCGGCTGCAGGGGCTGCCTTTGGGGGCAGAGTCTCAAAGTTAAGGACAAGTTCGGTATTCATGAATCACAGATTTGGAGATGGGTGGGGAGGGTGACTTTGACTTGAAACAGTCTAGGGGAGGTTCTCAGATCTTGGACACGGGATCTCTTTAAAAATTATTGAGCACCTCAAAGAAATTTGTTTACGTGGGTTATAGCTATTGCTATTTACTCTATTAGAAATAACTGAGGGATATAAAAAACACACAAGAATGTACAAGCACACATTCCATTTGCTGTTAAGTGATGACATCATCACATAGTATGTAGTCTCCGGAAAATTCCATTCTACACTCATGAAAGGAAAGGAGTGGAAAAGTCAAATGGCACTGTAGTATTACAAAAATGGTTCTGCATAGCTAGCACTGCAGCATGACATATAGGGGAGTTGTTAAGAGAGTAAATCCTAAGAGTCCTCATCACAAGGAGAGAAAAAAATTTTTCTTCTTTTTATTGTATTTATATAAGAAGATGGATGTCAGCTGTACCTATGGTGATAATCATTTCACAGTATAAATCAAACCATCATGCTGTCTGCTTTAAACTTATATAGTGATATGTATCCGTTATTTCTCAATAAAGGAAATACTAGTTTTGACCTTAAGAACTTGGGTGTTGGGGATCTGCAGGAGGCCCCAGACTGCACTTTGAGAACCACTGATGTAGATAGAAATTTGAACATTAAAGAAAAATATATAGTATGTGTTCATTTTCCCTTATTACAGATGAGCTAAGGTCATATTTTCCCAGGACCCATAAGACTCCAGAAACAATGGATCATAGCTAAATTCAAGTACAAATAAGAGCTAATATTTACTGACCTCCCATGTATTAATTCATTTAATTATCACAGTAATCATGTGAGTTGGTATTGTTATTACTATTCACACTTTACAGATGAGGAAACTGAGGCCCAGAGAGAATCGCTAAGGCTATGTGGTAGTGAGGGACAGGCCCAGAAGTTGGGCTCTTGTCTTTGTCTTTACTGCCCCTGATACAAAGCCTGAAGAGGAAGTGTGCACCTCGCGGAAAGAGGACATCCCTCGAGGTGGTGTGGACTCACGCTGTGGTTGGGCTCCCCGTGGGATTAAGTTCAATGGATTTGCTATTGCTCAGAATTTTTAACATGTAAGACACAAAAAATCCTACCATTTTTAATCTTCTTCAAGGTTGAAAAATTGGATAATTGAGTTAATGATAAGGGCTATTGGGCAGCAAGGCCTAGTCCTTCCTGCCTCAGATGACGTGGTTATTTGTCTCATATCTCTGTGGCTTCACAGTCTTAATGTGGGTGGAAGAACTACTTAAAGCCTCACCCTTAAGCTACCAGCGCTTATGTGGGCTCTGGGAGTAACAGTGATCGAGCCCTCCCAATCCAGCATTCACAGTGACATCCATGGTGACAAGATGTTTTAACTATGCCAGGTGACATCCATGGTGATGAGATGCTTTAACTATGTGACATAAGGGAAAGCAAGGACAGCATAATATTGGTGTAACCTGAAAGGGCAAAGGGAGCAGTCAAAAGAAAAACTAGTTCCTCATGTTTATGAATAAAGGATGGGTGATTGAGATGATTAACTGGCTAACCGTCCCGGGATGGTGTTCGATTACGGCCCTGTGCTGTTATTCTAAAGCCCCAGCAGTGTCCTTGGCTACCAGATAGCCTCTGGCCTGCTCTCCACTGCGCACGGCTCAGATTCTGTTACACTGACTTGAGAAACGCAGACTCATGCTTCAGTGGCCCCGGTGACCCTGCTGGTTGGGTTTCATTGGGTCAGACCTCCAGTCACACTTCAGGAGCCCGGGTTGTTAGGGAGGCCACCAGAGGAGCGACAAGTGCACTGTTCACTAAGATTGCCTCGCTGGCTGGCAGTGCTCTGGGAACCCAGGGGACAGGCCTCTATTGCCCATCTGAGAACTTAACTTTTTGTTCAGGATTTGTTTTCCTTAACTTCTAAACCACACAACCTTGTAAGAATGACAAATTTTTCTAGGAAAAACTGTATTATTATTACTTCAAAACTTCAGGATCCTAAAAAACAACAACAGAAAGCAAAAAGAAACCCCAAAACCAACTCCACCCGAACTTTCTCACTATGCACTGCTGTAATAGATATGGACATTCAACTACAGCAAAACATTTGAGGCCCTGAGTCACACATTGGAGAAAAATAGACCAGATGCAATGAGCAAACTGCAAAAGTCAGTAGATCGTTAGCCATGCTCTTGCTAATGATCCACTGATTCACCAGCTGCCTAGTGAGACAGTGGTGTAGACGCATGAGATTTATACACTTACCCAACACAAATTTACTGAGCATCTACCATGAACCAATTTGTTGCATTAAGTACTACATAACACAACTTAAAGAATTTTAAAGAATTTAAAAGAATTTAAAAGAACACAATTTAAAAGAACACAATTTAAAAGAATTTAGATTTAAAATTCTTTAAAAGAATTTAAACTTAAAATTCTTTTAAAGAATTTAACACAACTTAAAAAAATTTAAAAGAACACAATTTAAAAGGAAGGAGGGAGAAGGCATGTGCAGCTGACCCTTGAACAACGTGTGTTTTGAGTTTCCAAAAACTTAACTGCTACTAACCTGCTGTTGACCAGCAGCCTTACTGGTAACAAACACTCAATTAACACATATTTTGTATGTTATATGTATTATATACTGCCTGCTTACAATAAAGTAAGCTAAAGAAAAGAAAATGCTATTAAGAAAACCATAAGGAAAATACATTTACAGTATTTATTGAAAAGAAATCCCCATAAAGGGGACCCATGCAGTTCAAGCTTGTGCTGTATATAAATAGCTAATTTGGAGCAAAGTAAGTTTTTGAGCTGGACTTTTGACACTGAGTAGGAATCAGATAGGCAGAGAAAGTAAAGAGTACTCCAGGTGAAAGAAGTGACTTGAGCAAATAAGGCAGCGGGAAAGTTCAGGGCGTTTGTGAGGAACAGGAAATACTTGAGTTCGTGTGAAACATACAGGATAGTGTCAGGCACAGAGGTAGAAAAGTAGCCTCAGACTGTGTTACAAACAGTCTTACATGCCAGGTAGAGGGATTTGGACTAGAGGCAGTGGAAAGCTCTGGATCGTCTTTGAGAATGAACAGCACAGCTAGAGTTGTGTCATTGGGTGGTAGTGTCCAGGCAGGGAGAGCTACATGGAAAGCAACAGAAATGAGTGTTGTCAAGCAGAAACGTTTTGAGTAAGAAAAATGACTTGGGAACTTTCCATACTGTTATTCAGAAAATGGGTCTTTAGAAGAACACTTAGTGGTCTGTGATCTGGGAGGCATTTTATGACTCTCATGCTGAATTGATGAAGGAAGCCCTCCAGTCTTTATGCCACCAAAGAACAGTGTGACCCATACCCCCTGGTGAACCTAATGAACTTTCTTCTAAATAAAACCTTCTGTGAAGGATTCATTGCCAACACACAATGCCCATCTCCCTTGTCTGAGAGTCTGGTTCCCAATATGACAGCAGAAACTGTGGTTTAAGAACAAAATAGTTTAAGGCTTAGAGCATACAGAATAGTACACAGAAGTCCTCAGTGATGCCATCAATAGATCCTGTGACTTTAAGCTAAATGTCAAATAAGGAAACCAATTTTACTACAGGTTAATTGATATAAATAAGAGCTAAGTTTCTACAATAGCTCGTCAACTTCATAATAAAATGACGTTGAACAAGATGGCATTATTCAAGGGCCTGCTGTACTTGAAAAGATTTTTTATTTCCCACTTGGGAGGCTTGGGTGTATTTTTAAGGTCCATTTAGACTCTCTACTTCTCCTTATTTGATTTTTAAAGTATACCCTTAGTATAGTGTTAGTACAATTCTGAGGCCCAAATATAATGCCACTTATAATACCCCAAACAATTATAGCAGAAATATTATATGATAGAATGTCAGCACACTCATATTGCTTTATATTAGAGAAGGTCAGCTGAAAAAGCTGGGTCTTAGGTTCTGGACTTCACTTGGACTGCGACAGGCAGGTAATTAGAGATAGGGGGGCATTCATGGAAAGTGCCATGCAGCCATTAGTGCCCAGAAGATGGAATTTGAGAATTGCCTCTGTGGTGAGAAAAATGATTTATTTTGGGAGTTTGCAGATCCAGGATTGATGCTGGCCAGGCTGCGTGACCTTAGGAGACCCATGTAACCTCTCTGTGACTTTGCATCATGCTTGGTAAACTGGTGACAAATTTACCTTGTTTGGGAATTCTAAAGGAGTAATCTATATGTGGAAAAGGTTTGAAGAGTAGAAAGGATATAAAAAGAACTCTTTCAATGACTGGCAAACTTTCAGAGGTGGTTTCCGAATCATCATTGACTTCTTGCCCTTGATTGGAGGAAATGATAGCGCCTGCCTCAAGGTCACTCCCTTTTCCCCTTCAAGATGTCCTTTAAAAAATGTTACTACACCTCAGAGCTGCCACCTAACAACTAGCACATTAGAAGGGGTGACTGTAACAGCCATTTAATGGTAAGACCAAGACACTGGGTGAATGAAGAGGAAATATAAGGAGGAGAGGAAGCTGGATTACTCAAGGGAAGAGAGATAGGGTCAGTCAAGGGGTGGGACTGCCCTGATCTTGCCTCTCAATATTGTGTTTTGTACCATTTGCAGACATTGCCAAACCCTGCAGCACATATCTAATGCACAATATAAATTATCTATACCGAAACATAGAAAAAGTGAGCATGGGAAAGGCTGTGCCATGTATTGGGCTATTTTTGAAAGGGAGGAGAAGAGTAGGTGCAGGGGAGAATAGGTTATGTTAAGCTCGTCAGGCTAGTTGGTTATAGTTTAGTCTAGAAGGAGGGAAAGCATGAATTATTTCTACAGGTGAGAGTATTGTCTGGATTGGTGTCTGTGTTCTTACTTTAATCTCAAGTGTTAA